AACTGATTTTCAAAAGGGTACTAACGTTGCTAATAATCAAAAGAAAGAAAAAAGTGGCTTGTTTAAAGAACGCCCATTTCAAAAATTGAGACGTTTCACTTCTTGATTATGCAAAAAAGCATAAATAAAAACAATTGTCATCTACGCCTTATCCTTCTATATTCTTAGTTACCGTTGAAATGTTTCATCTGTAAAATGACTTTTCACAAAGTAAGTCCAGAGACCTTCACATATATTCAGTGGGCAGACTTGAAGCCTGGCTGTAAATCAAATGAACTGAAAAAACAATTTGTTTAGACCAGTTTCGACTTACCTCAATGTAGGTTAATGGACTGACACCTATCAGAAAACAACTATTCTCCTGGTTAATACCACGAAGGTTGTTGGATTATATCCAACAGGTGTCGGTACAGGAATCTTCACAGAAGTATTTACTGCTTATGCGTTTGGCAATACAACTGCAACAACTGCAAATAGCTCGAAACCGGTCTGCAAGCGTGCCCGTTCCTATAATTGAAAATCGATTCCAGCAGTTGTATCGCCAACAGCATATGCAGGAAATTCTTCTGTGAAGATTCCGGCACTGACAACTGACACCTGTTGGATATAATATAATCCAACGCCCTTCGTGGTATTAACCAGGGGAATAGTTGTTTTCTGATAGGTGTCAGTCCATTAACCTACAGTGTAGGTAAGTCGAGACTGGCCTGAACAAATTGTTCTTTTAGTTAATTAAAGTCAAGGGAGTGAAGAGACCACTGAATTGCGACTATAGTTCAATATAATAAGTTATAAAGTTACTAAGTTATAAACGCATTAAAATGTGAAAAAGGTATGTAAGTGTTTGCAAATATTTCAAAAACTATAAAGAATTAGAAAGATCCATATAGAGGAGAAAATTTTTAACGCCAAAAACAGGTTAATTCGTTTATAAGTTTTGCAATTTTTTATGTGCTAAAAAACGGTTCAGTATATTTTTCTGGATATCATCGCATGGATTTTTTCACCATTTTCAATTTGTGAACTAGACTAGAATTTTTGAATTAAAGAAAACCAATACAACCTATTCATGCATGCCATCTGTTGGAAAACAACCACGACTTCGTAAACTACGACGTACTATTTACAGAGAATAAGGACAAAAATTAAATCAGCTTTAATCCCTGGAAATCAATAAGCGTAGACAATCAAATTGAACGAACAACAAGAAGTTGATTTCTCACCACTGTTAAATTTATTTTCATGAAAAATTTCCTAGAATTGATTGAATCAGTAGTAAAAATAATTTACTTGCATTCTATCTGCTGGATACCTGTTCTTAAAACTACCTGTTTACAAATTAGTAATCTGTATTAATTCAGGTCGATAATTTGTATGAATTGCGTTGCAAATTAGTGTAAAGTACCAGTGCAACTGAGGAAACTACTATGTAGTGAAAAGCTTACTGGAAATAAAGTCTATCGTCAATAGTGTTATTGATTCTCACCAAGTAACGAGCTAGTGTATTCAAAACAATATAATGTTGGTGAAATATCTACAAGCAGGGAGTTCCACAAAACGATTAACCAACTAGGAACATTTATTTGTTTCACGACTAACACATTAAGAACGTAAGGCTGAGGTCTCTCAATACTTGTGGAACAAGTCGATAGTGGAAGGATGGAAGAAATCTCCAAAGCACCACTGATTATCTAGAAAAACTTCTCCTGTGATGCTCTGAAGTTAACAGACTTATTGTTCACAAGGAGTTACCAGAAAGACAAATTGCTCTGCACTTGAGAAGTTTCAAAATGCGTTTGAAAATCCCCAAAGTCAGTAAATTAGGGGATCACCAGAGGAGACCAAGTATTCCAAAGACTTGCAATGAATGGACAAATCAGGTAGCTTAAAAGTGGCAAAAGAGAGATCGTCAGTGAGACAAAATGCTCTACTTTATATCGATAAGAACGGCCAGTTTTTTGTGATACTATAGCAAAACGAAACATTTTCACAACTAGTTTAGTTTTCTATAGACTAGTTGATACCTTTTCTAGAATATTTGTTACCTCATTGCCACATTCAAGATTGATATCAAGTAGCCAATGCATCTACTGTGTACGGTGTTTATGGTCAAATGTCGACGTAGCCTTAGGACTGTAACTCGAAGATGGTCTATACTCCATAAAAAAATTATTCC